ATTACATACATTGCAATGTTGCTGGAACGTTTTGTTGTAATATTTCAAAAAGCGGACATCTTAACATTGTTGGAATTTTGCAGTAATGATTCAGCAACGTTTCGCAACCACCATGTAATATTGTAATGTTTCAGTGAAATTATTCTGCAATGTTTCTGCAATCTTTCTATGCTGTATGGAATTTTATAAGTCTTTTAAAAGTTTTTACATTTTGCTCAGTTCTGCTTTACGTATATCTGCGTGCAATATTGATATAATAATATGTAGTAAAATGTGTCAACGTCACGTAAATTATATGTGTAAGTGCTATTTAAATCGATAAAACAGATGACTAATCGGTTATTTAATCTATATTAACATACAGAAATGGATCTTCAATCAGTAATAATACTACTTTTCCTTAGCAGCATTCGATATTCACCCAGACAATATTTATATTGCATAAAATATCTAAAAGACGTCTTTTAGATATCTTATACAATATGCATGTTATCTAGGCAAGTATTTTTACCGACCGAAACTTGCTAGAAACTAATGGGAAATACATTCACAGAATAAGGAGCTTTGCATATGTAATCATATATTGCGGAATAGGGTAAAAGATCATATTACTGGCATATTAAGCGTTTAGTCATATTTGATTTATACAATTAATAATAATTTCAGTCTTAAAAAAATGTTTTATTAATAATTTTAATTTCATAATTAAAATAATTAAAAAAACATGAACTATACAAATAAAATAAAAGAGTTTAAATAAAATTAACTATTTTTTTTTATTTAATAAAATAAAGATCAGGCTTAGTTACACCTTAAACTTACTGACAGCCTTAAGGAGATTCTGAAGCAAAGCTCGAACTTTAATGAAATTGCCAGATGTCGCTGTTTTACAATTAATACATCGACATATCTTTTATATACTACCACTCTAATATCTCATGCACAGTGATATACGCAGTCGTATTACCTGTCAATTTTCGTATCATAAATTCATCGCGATAAAGTGTCCAAGTCTAATTCTAAGCACTTGACGCTGTTTGTTCATGCAAACCATGTGACTGTGGACTACTATTTCTTAAGTACAGATTGCACAGCTTTTATATGAAACAAATGTTGTTACGACGTGCAACGACGTGACAGTTCTAAAGCGCCTAAATTGGACTAAAAAAATGGTAAGACGAATCGATTTTCAATTTTTTTATCGTTTTCAGCACAGATTTTACCTAACAGGTACGCAATAATGCAAATACTTTAATCCTATAAAAGGATTTTCGAATCTGTGAATGACAAAAAAAAGTATTTACAATACAAATATTATATGATTTAGTCGGTAATATAGACGACTTTAGGATCCCTTTAAAATTTCGTTGTTCGTAATACTAACAACCAGATGAATGCATTACTGACAGTTTTTCATATTAAATTATTGTACCTGTATAAACTTAGTCTCTTTGTGTTTTAGATAATAAATAGATAATTAAATATTTTTTATTATACATTCTAATATACATTGGATATTATTTAAAAAATTTACTTGGCATTTCTATATTTTATTTAATTTAATTTTTTTACATTAACCTCAACAAGCCAAACATTTTTAGAATAATATTCGATGTATTAGAATAATATCTAATATATTTAATATTGGAATAATAGTATTACAATAATAATACCTTCGAAAATATTCGATGATTCGAGCAATCTTGAGTCTCGGGTACCTAAGAACACACATATCGATCGATATTGACACATCGAGGACACATTATTGGTCTTTACGAGACGCCAGTATTATGCTCACTTCGTGATTGATGACTAATATTGTTGACAGTATGTATTAGGAAAAATATAAAAAGTGAATGTATTACTGGCATTAACGAATACATTATACAAATTAATAAATTTATTCAATATTTAATTTTTTTCTTTTTATTTCAACATTATTTCATCAGAAAAGTGAGTTTCCGTTTGACTTACTGATCAAATTTTCCTACAATCGCTCATCTTTGCAACTACTTATTTAGTCCAGTCGTCAGAGATTTGACCTGGAAAAACGCGACGAACAAGCTGGATTTTGCTGTGGATGTCAATTTTGGGACCCCAAAAAAGATGCAAAAAAGTTTACCACTCCTACCCCCGGGCTGGGAAGCTAAAAGCAGTTTTAAACGTTTTATTTGAAGTATAAGGCCAAATATCACGATTTTTTTTTAGGCATATTTTAAATGCCTCATATTTGTTGCCAAAACTCAAAATCGAAATTTCATGTTATAGGTTTTGAAGTTTAGGCTCTAACAATGGAAATTCCACAGCGACCGGTTAATGGAAGTGATAAATTTTATTGATCTCATGAGAATCGTAAAAAATGGAAAAAATCGCGCAACGTTTATTTATTTAACAGCTTTATAGAAACTGACTTCATTTGCGGCAAAATGCAAAAATTGCATACGAAAGCTGCACTCTTCACCTTTAAAACGCATTTTGATTTTTGTCGATAGGACATTCTGATCAAAAGATATCGAATTTTTACCGTCGAGTTGATAGAAATTTTATTTAAAAAATTGATTTCGCGCGCGTAACTGACATTCAAAATCACCGGTCGCTTCAAGCGTTGTTTCTGAGAGAACGGTTCATTCTACACAAAAAGTGCTAAGAAACATTTTTGTTCAAAATTATCTCAGCTACATTTCTTGTTTGAAACATTTTTTTCTACGGCGTACAGATTCTTGGGAAATCGATGTTTTCCATTTTTTCCCCCCTACGAGGGGGAGTTTTAGGGGGAAGCCCGGGGGTAGGAGTGGTAAACTTTTTGCATCTTTTTTGGGATCCCAAAATTGACATCCACAGCAAAATCCAGCTAGTTAGTCGCATTTTTAGAGGTTGAGTGGCATTTTCGTCTCTGACGACTGGACTAATTATCCACTTCACTAATAAAAATGGACATAATTCAGCAGAAAAATGCGTTTCTCGAATTTTACGTTTTATTTGTAATTAAAGGATTGTTTTCATTTTCAGTTAACTGTTGTAATAATAATTAGATATATTACAAATTCTATTAAAAATTCATAAAATAATATAAGATATACTTTTTCCATCTCAAAATGCATTTTAATATTGATTGACAGTATACACTGTCAGTAAGACGGTCTTTTATCCTATTCTGTTTCCTGTTCATTTCATTGTGCACAATCCTTGACACACGAGTTACGTTCCGTTATTCACTGCAAGTACTGAAAATCTTTAATAACGTGAACTTAGATTTTCAGCAATGAATAACGAAATGCAATCATGGTCGAAACAAAACAGTCGAAGGAAAAAATGATAAAAATGGAAATGAGAAAAATTTATTGCTACTGCATATCGCAAAGTAAATTAATTTTTGTGAAATTTGATATCTAAAATTATCAAAATCAGATTAGATATTAATTTCATGAAATAACTTTTCATATAAATAAATTTTTGTCGGTTTTTTTTTTCAACGCTATTCGTACAGATAATTTGTTTATTGTGTGTAAATATAAAATAATTACTCGCGACTGCTCTTGTGGTTATTATAATTAATAATTTTGATTTTGTACAGACAAATTGCTAAAACGCAGGGTGAATGCAGGAAGGGAGATAATAGCAACTCCATTGAAAGCGTATTTGCGGGGTCTAAGCTGAGCCAAGAAGTCTATTCGGTTTTAGGAAGATCGTCGTCCGGCTGTCGCGTGTGGACACGACTACTGGATGAATAGAAATGATATATTGTGAAAATAGAAAAACTTTGTAAAAATCGTAGTAAGAATAACATCAAGTCGTATCGCGATAGCGATATACAAAAGACATCTGCGATATTTCCCGCTAAAGAGACTTTGGACGATCTAAATGAACGCGGGGAGACGATCAGCCGATATCTCTCTCTCTCTCTCTCTCTCTCTCTCTCTCTCTCTCT